CTCTTGTGTTCTCTTGAATGTTCTGAAACAACTAGGGTCTGAAGTCTAATTTTTTTTTTTCATAAGGAGTGTGTTAGTCAGCATTCTGTTGCTCTGACAAAACACCCGAGATACCACCTCATAAGGAAGAAAGGTTTCAAGAGATTTCAGCCTGTGGCCATTTGACCCCCTTATTCTGTGCCTGTGAGAGAATACTATATCCTGGTGGGAGTGTGGCAGAGGAAAGCAGAAGCAGCGGGGAGGGCGGCTGGAGTCCCGGTGTTCCCTCAAGGCCAGGCTCCAATGGCCTAACTTCCTCCCACTAGGCTCCGCCTCCCACAAGTTAGAGCTCCCTGAAGCTCTGCAACCTAGATGCCAAACTGTCAAAGCCTGTGTCTTTCTGGGCCTCTTCTACAGCAAGTCTGCATGACTGAGCTTCTCCAACAAACCTGTTGTCCTCATGAGCTGAAAAGTTATGATGTTTCCTCAATCAGAGGAGCACAGGAGTCTCAAGGTCAGAGGAGGCTGGGCTTGGCCATTGGGGCTGCTGAGTTGCCTTGAGACCTGGAGAAGGACAAACATGGGGTGGGAATTATTCTGAGAATCCACTGTGGGGCTACATAAACTGTGAAGGGTAGTGATGGGGTGTGCAAGTAGGAATACAGAGGAGGAGGCAGGGGACCTCCCCTTCAGCAAGGACAGTGAGTAGATGCCAGGAAACTTGGAAAGCTGGGGCTGGCAGTCATAATCCCCATTAACGAGTCCCATGCCATGTGCCTCGCCCAATCAGGAGGCCTCTGTCATTATCCCTACGGGGCCACTGGGACTTGAGCAAGGTCCCAGTGCTCAGGAGTATCAGTGCCAGGATTCCAAGCCCAGTGCAGGGCGTCTGGACCCCCAAGACTGGGAGCAGAGGCTTCTCAGAGAAGCTTGGAGACAGCCAGGGTTGCTGGCGCATGCTCAGTGCATCTCTGCCGTTGTCAACGGCTGAGGAGAAATTAATCCGATTTGTAATCCATGTTCAAATGCTCCCAAAAAGATTGGTTTTCAGAAATTTTGTTTATTAGTTTTATGAGTTTAATAAATTGAGCATTAAACAAATAAACTAGAACAAGCCAAGAGGCACTGGAGATAATGTTTTCACAGCCTGGGACTCCACAAACGGGGTGTCCCTACCCACGGAATTCCTTCTTCTACAATCGCAGTTGATCTCGTCAGGAGGAAAAGTCATTATATGTTTATAGGTAGGGGTATTCCATTAAAAAACAAAAACAAAAACAAAAACTCAGTCGCTCAGCCCTGCTTCTGGGGCCAGGCTCATGACGAGTAGGAAGCGCGGGGTGGGTAGAAGAAGCTCATGGGCTCGGGAGCAGGCACAGGCTGAGCTGCCCAGGGGCAGGGCACACTGGCACCCACAGAGCATGCACAGGCAGCCTTTCCCCTACCTGGAGTCCATCCATAAGGAGACGGGAAGCAGGTGATACAAAGTGTCTTCTCCAGATCTGAGCACAATGAAGGAGGTGATGCCGGAAGACAGAGCTGAGTGGTATCGGTGCACAGGGCTGAGCAAGCAGGCCAAGCAAGGAAGGTAGCAGGGCCTCCATGGCCCAGGGTCTTCAAGAGAGGCACAGTGGGGTGTTGGCACCGCTAATCGAAAGGAATCTTAGAGAGCCTAGCCAGGGCACATGGGGGATAGGTAGAAGGTTTTTATGCCCACGCAGCGTCCGGGGCCCTGCAGGCATCAGCCTGCCCAACAGATCTGTAGTCAGCTATGGTCACTCTCATGTTACAGGTGAAGAGATTGAGGCTCAGAGGTGAAACGCCTTACCCAAAGTCACACAGCAAGGGAAGGGTGGCGCTAGAGTGCCCAGGCGGCACAAGAGGTTTTAGATGGATTTAAAAACAATTGTGCCAGTCCTGGGACTCAGGGCCTGGGCACTATCCCTGAGCCTTTTTTTTGCTCCAGGCTAGTACTCTGCCACTGGAGCCACAACTTGGGGATGAGAGTCTCTCGGACTTTCCTGCCTGGGCTGGCTTTGAACCTGGATCCTCAGATTGCAGTCTTCTGAGTAGTTAGGATTACAGGTATGAGCCAAAGGCACCTAGCTTGATTCTTTTTCAGAAAGGGATAAAAAGAAAGTTGCACAGCCAGGCTGTGACTCTGGTGCTACCTGCCTTAAGTGGGCAGAACAGGTAACAGCTCGCTGAGCCCACTACACAGGCAGGTAAGCTGAGGCTTGGGGATGGAAGCAGTACCTTGTATGTCTTGTCACCAGCCAGCAAATAGGCATGGAACCCAAGTCCCTCTGAGTCCGTGTCCTCTTCGGCCTGTGGCTGGAAGCTGGCCTGCTTCCCTGGGTCCTAGGAGACTTCTCAGTGCCCTGCCCCATCCACCCATGATGGTGATGGGGGAGGGAAGGGGGGAGCAGGAGGGAGGGCAGCCCTCCCACCCGCCCACCGGTGAGCCGCTCTCACTCTGCTCGCACTTGGTAGACAAAGGCAGCCCCATAATTGGGAGTGAGTATTTCATGCGTCCCCCCCTGATGTTTTATTGGGTGGGGAGATGCTTGGAGACCAAACGGATGGCACATTCCGTTTATAAAGTGCACGCCGTTTGTTTTATTTCCCGGGTTTTTTTTGCAATCTAGATAACAGATGATGCCCCCAGTGGCTGTGCTGCCTGGTAATGGCGGCGCGGGGCCTTCGGAGGAGTATTAATAATGGATTGTGTTGATGAGCTGGGAGAAAGTAGCAATCGACCCCCTGCTGCCAAGGCATTAGCGTGCCTCTTCCCAAACACAGCCAGCGCTTGCACGGCAGAGGCGGCGGTGACAACCCCCCCCCCCCCAGCCAAGCAAGGCCTCCTCTTCTGGAACCCCCAGCCCGTGCTGACTTTGACCTGGGCCACCGCCCTGCCCCTGCCAGGCTGGCAGAGACTGGGCCAGCGCCTGTCTGCTCAGGCGACTGCAGACCTCGATGGGCACCCTGGCCAGGCACATGGGGGGGACGCAGGGCACGGGCAGCCTCCACGATGGGACATCAGCCTGCAGACTCAGCAGAATGCACGGGCAGCCGGGGGCCTCTGTCTAGGGCCACCACGGACTGTGGGGCAGGTTGTGTGCTGAACAAGAACATCCTTTAGAAGGGCCAGATCAGAGCTGAAATATTCCCCCCGCCCCCCGCAAACCATGCGTGTGTGGGTTGGAGAGCCCGGCTCGAGCCTCTGCCCACTTGGGGTCTTTGCTTCCCTGCCCCACAGAAGCACGCAGTGGCTTCCCTGAGAAGCAGGTGCAGCCAGGCCCCGGCCTGCGGGCCCCTGTTGAGTTGAGCTTGGAGGAGGCTCTGTGGAGTCACTCCACTGTGGTACTTGGTGAATGGGTCCATATCATCAAATCCCAACCACAGCCTTTAGGGGAGATCCTGTTGGCACCCCCATTTAACCAAAGAATGACTCTCAAGGCCCGGGAAATCAGGGGAACATAGAAGCCACCTTCTCCATACTTGGGTGTCACAGAAGGCTTCTCAGAAGAGGTGGCATTGGAGTTGGGCATTGCAGGATGAATAGGAGCCTGCTGGGCCAAATATTGGCAGGTGGCTGGCAGACTTGCTGGGAGGTATCCCCAAGTTGAGTGCTCTGCCCAGTGCCAGGATGACAGGCAGAACTAGAGGTGGCTCTGTCTGCACCGCCCCCCCCAGCTCACCGTGGGTGGCACCGATGGCAGCCCCCGGGAAGACAGGCAGGCCGAGAGCCTTGCGTTTATGGCCGCTCCTGTTCCAGAACCGATTAGCAGAGAATTGCAGCTGTAATCTGTGCCCGGGATGGCGGGCCATAAAGAGGGATGGGATGTGTACAGCGCTCCCAAGGTGGCGCCCGCAGACGTGGCCCGGGGACGCGGGGAATGAAAAATGGTTTTAATTCCCTCCCAGCAGCAATAATTTGATTCTTCATAAATTTCTCCATCAACGTGTTGTTGAGGCTGGAGTTCCCACAGAGCAGGCACGTGATGGCAGGGGGGCATCGGGAGGAGCGGTCAGCCCGCGGCGGGAGGGACCGCGGCCTGGACTGGTGTCCCAGGCTGGCCACGGGCACAGAGGCCCCCCGCGCCTGGCTCTCTTCTGGAGATGGGAGATGAAGCTACGATGTGGTCCCGGCCTGCGAGTCCCCTCTAGTGTTTGTGACCCCCTAACCTGCACTGGGCTCCTCTCAACACCTCCGCTTCCTCATCTCTCAAGTGGGGTCAGTTTTTCAGGAGAGCATCTCGCGGGTCTGTGGCAAGGATCAAAGGCACATCGGCCCTTACACTGCGTAGCACTGTGGCTGTCTTCTGGGCATGCTCAGTAGATGCCTGTCCACTGGGGACACCTGAGCTGAAAGGAAGAGCGGGAAGGTGTCAGCCAAGCCACAGGGCAGGGACAGAGCGTGCCCAGAGGTGATGGTGCTGTGTGGGGCCCCACACAGCTAGGCGAGCAGAGGATGGTGAGGCGCCCTGAGTGCCAAGCTCAGGAGCTCAGACTAGGGAGGCGCGGCAGAGTTGGCACAAGGCAGGGTCAGAACTGGGCTTTACCAAAATCCTTCGGAATCCTCTGCTGTGGGAAGGTGAAGGAGAGTTAAAAGGGTTCAGGAGCCCAAGAAAGGGCCTGGCTGCTTTGGCAGGGGAGGAGAGGCCCAGGCTGCAGGGCTGGACAGGATGTGGGGGTGGAGAGGCCAGAGCAGGCCAAGGAGTGAGGCAGGTGGGACTCCGTCTCCCAGCCACTTGGGCCCTAGGGAAGTCAAGGCTGGCCCTGCACACTGCCCTCTAGTGGCTGCCATGGCTGCACACAGGAGGGCTCTGAGCTGACCCCAGAAGAGACCATTCTGGGCCAGAAGCCAGGCGTCCGCCCTGGGGGCTGCTGTGGTAGGGAAGAGGAGGGTTGCGGGACCCCCAGTGTCCCGCTGCAGGCTCAGGAGAGAGGCCCCAGGTTGCAGTGGCCTCTGGGCGGAACCCCGAGCCCAGCCAGTGCATCCCCCTTTGTGCCCCCAGGCTCTTCGCAGCCAAGTGCAGCGGCTGCATGGAGAAGATCGCCCCCACCGAGTTCGTGATGCGGGCGCTGGAGTGCGTGTACCACCTGGGCTGCTTCTGCTGCTGCGTGTGTGAGCGGCAGCTGCGCAAAGGCGACGAGTTCGTGCTCAAGGAGGGCCAGCTGCTGTGCAAGGGCGACTACGAGAAGGAGAAGGACCTGCTCAGCTCCGTGAGCCCCGACGAGTCCGACTCTGGTGAGCCCCAGCCCGGATCCGGCGGCTGCCGAGGGGGTCCTGCCGTCTCCGGGCAGCAACCGGGGCGCAGAGCACACACGTCCACACGCGCGCGCACCTGCGCACCCTACCCCAGACTTCAACATGCCAGCCCCAAGGTGCACACAGCCAGTACACATATGCCTGCGTGTGATCACACGCACACGGGATCCCGTAAGCGCACATGCCCAGGTACACACACACGTGCAACACACATGACCAGCATACTCATATACACGCTTGTTCTCTGGGAAGGGCTGGGAGGTGTTCTCCTGTCCCCTTCATCTCCCGCCCACACCGGGAAGGGAGAGTGGGGGTAGCCTACCTCTCTGCAGGCGCTCTGGATCTTGGCAGATCCGCCCTGACTTGTGAGCATCAGTGAGCGGCTCACACTGGCTGGTGTGTCCACACCCCGGGCACACGCACAGCCGTGCCCTGTGCCACGTGTGGGCCTGCCTCCTGCGATAGGGAGCCGTGGGAAGCGAGGCAAGACCAGGCCCTGGAGGAGGGGCGGGCTTTATTCTGAGGGCCCCAGCGAGTCACAGCAGGTGCAGCAGAGGTGATGGCCCCAGGAGTTAGGTGTCACCTGGGGGCACAAAGCCAGGACGCAGGGCTGCCATCGGCCGTCCCTGAGGGGCTGCTGTGTCCCCCACAGTGAAGAGCGAGGATGAAGATGGTGACATGAAGCCGGCTAAGGGGCAGGGCAGCCAGAGCAAGGGCAGCGGGGACGACGGGAAGGACCCTCGGAGGCCCAAGCGGCCCCGGACCATCCTCACCACCCAGCAGAGAAGAGCCTTCAAGGCCTCCTTCGAGGTCTCCTCTAAGCCCTGCCGGAAGGTGAGGGCGCCTGCGCGGGAGGGGGCCGTCTTGTCTGTCTGGGTACCCCCCACCCAGCTCTCCCTGGGGGCAGGGTACCCCCCCACACTGCCATCCCCGTAGGCCTGACCCATCGCCTCTCTTGGGCTAGGTCCGGGAGACGCTGGCGGCTGAGACGGGCCTCAGTGTGCGCGTGGTCCAGGTCTGGTTTCAGAACCAAAGAGCAAAGGTGAGAGGGCAGGCACCTGGGCAGCCCCAGGAGGACGGGACAGGGGTGGGTGGGGAGGGGATCGTGGCGTAGGGGGCTGGGACTGAGTGGGGGGCAGGGAGTAGGGGCGTCTGACCTGTGTCTCCCCACAGATGAAGAAGCTGGCCAGGCGGCACCAACAGCAGCAGGAGCAGCAGAACTCCCAGCGGCTGGGCCAGGGTAAGCTAGATGGAGTCAGGCACACCTTGTGCTGGGCCAGGGCAGGGAGCTGGGAAAGTAGCCACCAAGCCCTCGTCCTTACCTCGTGCCAGACTCTTCCTCGCCACCCAGCCTGCTCAGCCTCCCCGGGTGCTCAGGCCAAGGGACTGCCATAGCCCAGCACACCCAAGCCTGTGCTCTCCCCGGGTGATGACATCCTGCCACCCATGCTAGGGCTCATGGGAAACAGCCGAGAGTTGTTCTGGGTGTTGAAGAAGCCAGGGTGTGCTCCTTGTGGGTGCTAAGAGACCCCGACATTGGTCTTTGCCAAAGAAGTGAATCTGGCCTCCCGGGTCCCACGGGGGCGGGGGGCGGGGGGGACGGGTACTGAGTGGTAAGGGGAAGAGGTGAGGTCTCTGAGGATTGCCAGGCAGTGTGGGGTCCGGCGCCACCATCTTCCAGTGAGTTGGAGGCTCCTGAGCAGGCAGCTTTTCCACTCAGGGTGGGGGACCAGGCCTGGGTCCCAAACTTTTCCTCCACGCCCCTCTGCCTGTCCCTTCCTGAGGCTATAATCAACCACCCCCAGTCTCCAGGCAGACTGGCACCCCCTTTGCTGGGTAACCCCTGCCTGAGAACAGCCCACACCCCAGCCCAGCCCAGCCCTCATGGCCGCCTCTCTAGCACATACACCGCCTAGCATCTAGGCAGCATTTTTTGCCCCCTCTATGAGAGGCCCCACCTCCCCCCCTCCGGCTGCATTGGTCGCCTGTCAGCCTCCATGTTCCGCTCGCCAGCCCCCTCCCCATGTTTTCTCTGGGCCTTGGAGGAAAGCCCCACCCAACTCAAACCCCAAAGCACCCCTTCTGACTCCACCCTGCAGTCCCTTCTCTCTGCCCCTTCCTGACTGTTCTTCAGGGCACACTGGGAGGCGCTCTTCCTCAGGCCCCATCCTGGCACTGCCCACTGCGGGGCGTGTGCCAGGGGGGGCGTGTGGTGAATGGCTCCTGCCTGCCAGGGCAGCCACCTCTAGTCCCAAGGTGCAGTGGAGGTAGAGGAAAGGGGGCAGGAGGGACAGAGGGAGCCCCCTCCCCCACCCCACCCTGTGGCTCTGGGAAAACTGAATCGGGAAGAGAAGCTGGTGGGCATGTCTAGAAGAGAGCCAGCTATCCAGACAAACTCAGGCCAAAGGAGGCCTTGGGATCCTTGGGTGATGGGAGGTGGGCAGGGCCCGTCCGTGAAAATGTGCCCTGTCCCCAGAGGTCTTGTCAAGCCGCATGGAGGGCATGATGGCCTCCTACACGCCGCTGGCCCCGCCGCAGCAGCAGATCGTGGCCATGGAGCAGAGCCCCTACGGCAGCAGTGACCCCTTCCAGCAGGGCCTCACGCCACCCCAAATGCCAGGTGACCACATGAACCCCTATGGTAAGCCGCCCCACCCCACCCCACCCCCGCCCATCCCTTCACTGCCCACTGCCTCGCCAGGCAGGCCTGGGGCCACCATAACATTGGCTGCCCGGGACCCCAGGGCCAGCACAGCCCCCGTCCCCCTCCAGCAGGAAGAGCTCAGCCTCTCTGGTCAGGCCCTGGCCAAGCCTCTCCCCGGCCAGCCTCTCCCTGGCCTCGGGCTACAGCACCTGCAAGGCTGACAGGACCCCTAGGATCCTCCTGCCTGTACTGGGTCCTGACACCTCCTCTGCCCCCAGGGAATGACTCCATCTTCCACGACATCGACAGCGACACCTCCCTCACCAGCCTCAGCGACTGCTTCCTTGGCTCCTCCGATGTGGGCTCCCTGCAGGCCCGCGTGGGGAACCCCATCGACCGGCTCTACTCCATGCAGAGTTCCTACTTCGCCTCCTGAGAGCCAGCCAGGACACATGGACGCTTGGGCACGGGCCTGGGGTGGGACTACGGGCTTCAGCCGCCACCCAGACACCCCACGCCTGCTGCCCTACACAGACTGCAGACAGCCATACGGTGCCCTCCCCTCAGCCAGCTGGGGCCTGGCTCGAGTGCCCATTTGGGCACAGCTGGACAGGCAGATGGGCAAAGCTTGGGCAGGGGCTGTATCCTGCCCACAGAGACCTTGTCACCCCCAGGGACCTAGAGCTCTCGGACAGCCACTCGCCTCCCAGCCCCTCTCACCTCCATTGCCTCCTTCTCCCTCCCTCTCTCTTTTTGGGAAGCTTAAATTCTCTCTATTTTTTTAAACGTCCTCTCTGTGTCCAGCCAACCTCCATGCCCCACCCCTACATGCCCCGCCCCCAGGATGGTGACATTCCGACACTGTGCCTGGTACCTGAGAAGCCTGGGTACCAATCCCCGTGCTGGTGCCCACTTCTCCACCAGCTAGCGCAGGGGTGGCAACTGGGTGGCCCAGGCTCACCCCTCCCAGCTGAGCCTGAACCGGAAGTGGGAGGGGCCAGGCAGCTGTGACTCGCCCACTACACTCTGCCTGATTGGAGAGTCAGGGGCAAGAGGCGGGGTGTGGGTGGAGCCAGCAAACACCAAGGGACTGCAGTACACATGCAAAGGCATGCGCAGGTATAGGCACACACTCTACACACACACACACCACACACGCCCCAGAGGGATGCTCTGTGGGTCTGTCCAGCCTTATTAGGAAGCAGAAAGGAGGCCAAAAGGGACAGGGAGCCCACCTCTTATAGCAACTGGCCAGAGAGGGAAGGAAGAGGCCAGTGAATCTGAAGCATGTAGGACCTGTGGACTTGTTGGGGGCTGGCAGGGAGGGGAGGGCAGCCCCAGACCTGCAGAGAGAGAAAGGAGCCTGGTGGTCAGAATCAAGCCAGATGCAGAAGCTGCAGATGCAAAGGGACCTCAGAAGTCACCTGCTGGGCACACTGTCTGATACTGCCTCCCGCCATGAGGCGCTCACTGCTTCTGTGAGCCCCACCCTTCCTGCTGGTTCAGCCAGGGGCCCTCACTTCCCAGAGTCTGCTCTCTAACTCTTCCTCCTGACACTACCTGGGCTGGGCCCCAGCTCCTTTGAAAGCTTCAGAGCCGTGGTAACCTGACTCCCGTTGGCACTAGGCAGCTGCCAGTGAGCAGACCCATCCTCTCCTCTGCTTGAGACACCCCACCTCTTTTCATGTGGCCAGGGCCCCCATGAGGACTAGGGCCATCTGACCTTGGAGACTCACCATGCCCTTGGTCCCAAACATAGGCAACTAGGCCACATCTCTGTGTGCAGGGAGGAGGGAGGGCCGCATCTCTGTGTGTAGGGAGCGGGGAGGACCGCATCTCTGTGTGCAGGGAGGAGGGGGGCCACCTCTCTGTGTGCAGGGAGGAGGGGGGACCGCTCGCTGGTGAGGCTCCATGAAGGAGCTCAGGGTCCTTGTTTATGGCTGCATTCCCTTTACCTGGTTCAGCCTGTGGACTTTTCCTGCACCCCAACTCTGGCCACTACTTACCCTTCCCTCGCTCCAAGCACTGTGTCCCTGAGGTGAGAGGGCGTGGGGGCCCCTTCCTGCGTGGAGTAGGCCTCCCCGGCCCACCTCCTTGGCTGGTGACTTCTGTCATTCCAGCCCCCGGGGGCAGTAGGTGGCTGCTCAGAAGCCAGGTGTCCTGCTCTTCCCCCATCAGAAGATGAATTGAGGTAGGCTGGGGGGGCGCTCAGTGACCCCACACTGACCCCCGGTGACCCCTGTGCCCTTGCACAGGTGCTCCTTACCCTGCCTTGAACTCTAACGCCAAGCCCCAGGCCATCATACCCTTCCCAAATCGCCTGGCTCAGCCTATGAGTGGATGAGATCGAGCCTGTCTCCCCTGTGGCCCCCTCGGCATGGGGTGGGGGTGGGGCGCTCTGGAGTCCTCTGAGTTCGCCTCAGTCCCTGCCTCATCGTTCAGCAGGTCGCCACGCACAGTTATCAGAGGGAAGATAGGACAGAGAGCAGCCTCCCTCTGGTCCCCGCAGGAAGCCTGGCCCTGTGTTCTTCTTGTTACAAAGAGACCTTTGCCAGGAGTCCACTGATGTCCTTGGCCTTCCAGGGCCAGCTCCGGTCCTCAGCACCACAGCCAGCCTCCAAGGACCACCCCCCTTCCTTCCTCCCCGTCACACACATGGCCACAGGTAGATGAGGACTAGGTGCTCAGTCCCCCAGCCTGGCCTTCCCATACACTCTAGGTTGTAGAGAGCATCAGTAATGTCTCCTAGCTCACCCCTCGAGTTGCAGCCGAGCCAAGAGAGGGGAAGGCACCCCCAACAGCAAGCTAGAGACAGCTGGGGTCCCAGGTCCGAGAGCCAGAAACCCTGCTGACCCCCAAGGGCCACCTCTTCCCACTCTGGGGTCTCCAAGACCCAAGTGAAGCTCTGGCTGCCATTATCTCCATGCTGGTATGGAGGTGAGGGTCGGGAAAGGACCTCTGAGATCCTCTCATGTCAGATGGGCCACCGGCTGGGTGTGGGTGGCTCACTCCTGTCATCCTAGCTACTCAGGAAGCTGAGATCTGAGGATCGTGGTTCACAGCCAGCCCAGCCAGAAAAGTCCAAGAAACTTGCTGGAGATGCTTATCTCCAATTAAGCAGCAAAAAGCCAGAAGTGTAGGAGTGACTCAAGTGGTAGAGCACCAGCCTGGAGTGAAAAAGCCAAGTGAAGGTGCCAGGCCCTGAGTTCAAGCCCCAGTACCAGCACCCACACGCACAGATGCTGAATCAGTGACCCCTCACGGTGGCTCGCTGTGGCTACTCACACACCAGAGCCCACGCCCGGCCGTGGACTGCCCAGGACAGGCAGAAGAGGCAGCTGCACCCAGGATCTGAGGCTCGGAGAAGGGAGACTAGCTGGCTGAAACAGGAAGTCCCTGGCCTCACAGAGGACCCCACGGAGGGGTAGCAGGGACCACCGCACCCACCCCTGCCTTCAGGGAGGATGGGACCCGCACTTTAAGGCTAGGCTAGGGGCCAAGAGCTCCAGTAGAAAGTGAGAAGGGCGTTGGGGGGGGGGGACCTTGAAGAAAAACCAAGTTCCACCCCGTCCTTGGGAAGTGGAGGCTGAAGAAGAGGAAAGAGCTGGCCCCAGGTAACAGGCAGTGGAGGCACAAGAAGCCAGGCTTTGCCCCAGCCGGGCCTCTCCTGCCAGCTCCAAGCCACACAGACAGGGCTGCTGTGGCTGCAAGGGGCAGTGTAGCCAGAGGAGATGGCCTGGCACAGAGACCTGGCTGGGGGTGGGGGGGGGGGGTGTGGACACAGCAGACCCCTGCACCCAGACCAGCAGGCCCTAGCAGGGTGGGGTCCCCAGCCCAGGGTTGGGTCTCCTCAACTTCTCCGTTAAGCGGCCCCTGACAATGAGTCTGCCGCCATCTGGATGCCCCTCCCTGCACACAGGAGACCAGGAGAAGTGGGGGTGCTGCCCAGCTTTGCTTGATTGCAGTCCTGAGCTTTGAGCACCCCAGATTGTGGGGTTCCTGCAGCCAGGGGCTGGCTCTGCCCTGTGGAGAAGGGTCCCCACACTCTCTCACACACACACACACACTCGCCTGACAGGCCCACACGCACAGGCAGGTGCCATTGCCGGTGTGGGACTGTCACCCCGTCCCCACGCAGGGTCCCACGGGAGAGCAGTACAGCCGAGTTGGGGCCAGGTCGTGGCAGGCATTCCTGTTGTCCTTGTACAGACTCTGCCCACCCACCGCCCCCACACACATTTTATTTAATAACGTGTCATTGTTAAATTATTTATTAGCGTTACCATGTCACCAACTCCCCCCACCCCCCGCCTTCCATGCTCACCTTCTGCCTCTTCCCACAAAAGCAGAAAATGGAAACAACCACAAGAAAAGATGAGACGTTGGTATATTTGTAAATAAACAACCTGTACACGCCTGAGTGTGTCTTGTCGTGAGGTTTGGGTTTGGATGGGGGCTGGGCCTCAGCTAGTACTGCCTGGGAACTTCAACACCATCCCATAATCCTCTTCTTCCATCCTCCCCTGAGCCATCTCCAGCCCTGGGACCAGTGCATTCATTTTCCACTGCTCACTCATTTCTCCATTCAGCCAGCCAGTGTCTGTGAAAGGTCTCCCAGCATCTCTAGACTGAGAACAAGGGACAAGGGGCGAAGACATAAGTGTGATATGAACAGAAGGATGCGCATCCTAGAGGGCTTCTTGGAGGAAGCTACATTTGCAGCCGAGATCATGTGGCCTGGCATGGCGGGATGGTGTCAATGGGAAGCAAGGAGGGACCAGATCCCAGAGATGTTGGGAGGGGATGGTCAGATGGGGGCACAAGAGGAGATGCGGGGGAGGGAAGAAAGCCTCAAGTCTGGAAGATCTGGGTGGGGATGAGCAGATTGGGGCTTGAGGAGAGATGTGGGGGAGGGGGAGAAGTTGCTTCTCCAGGTTATGAATCCAGAAGTCCCACAGCTCCTTTGAGTATCTTGAGGTGGGTGAGGGAAGTGAGTGTGTGTATGCACACGCGTGTGGATGCGTATTCGTGTCTACGGAAATACCTCACTCGCCAGCACATTGTGTATGGAGTCGGGTCAGTGGGTGTCAGTGTGTCAGACCTGCGGTGGGCAACCCTTGGCGTGTTGGCAATACCTGTCTATCCATGTGAGTACATGGCTGCGTGCCTCTCTGTGCATCCATCGGAGGACTGGGCCTTGTGTCTTCAGATCCGACGTCCCATTTCTTCCCTCCCCCCACTTCCCACCCTACTTCTGAGATCACCAGAAACCCACTGCTTCTGTCTATGAGCACCAGCGCCCCCTAGGGGCAGACTCTGCCCTCCACTTCTGCTGAGCTGACCATATGATTCTAGCCTGCGCCTACCTTGGGAGGGACTTCACTGAACCCCCTCATTTGTCCCCCCAACAACTCTGAGAGGCATAGCCCCATGTCTCAGAAGGGAAACTGAGGCCACAAGGAGGAATAGCCACGTAACAGAACAAAGCTAGCAATGGCAGAACCAGGATTCAAAACCAGGTTTGGCTGAGGGAACTACCTGGGGACAAAGAAACTCTACCTTGGGAGAGCCCCACTAAGGATTAGGGAAACTAAGTCACATAGCTGGACTGCATGGCACTGGGCAGGACTGAGCCAAACCTTGATGTCCCAGCCCCGGGCCTGGCCTCACCCCTCCCTACCTCTCTTGCCTATAACAATGTTGGGAATCCTGTTACTAAACTATGTGTAGGGAGGGAGACTGCGAATCTGTTTCTTCCTGTCACCTGCCTGTCTTTTTCATGGCCCAGAAGGTGATGGCATGGGAGGGGGGAGACTTCTGGGCCAAGACCCCCCAGGGCAAGAGTGAGGGAGGAGACCTGTTTGTGCTTAGAGTTCTACTTCGGGGGGGGGGGGGGAGCAGATTTGGCTTCCCAGTATCTTCAGACTATGCTGGGCAGGCCTTGACCCCCAGCACTGATGGACTAAGGGAATTAATTTCCTTCATGACTCTGACCTTGGCTGGGAGTGGGATGCGCCCCTGGACTGGTCTTCATCCCAGTGTCCAGGCCATCAGGGTACAGCATGAGCAGTTATACAAAAGACATCAAGGGTTCGACATGGGGAGAGGTTTGCTGGCCTTGCTTGGGAAAACCCTGCAGGAGGAAGCATTTGGACAGAACCTCCACAGATCACCCAAGAGAAGTGAGTAGAGATGGGAAGGTCATATCCAAGTGGAGGGCTCAG